TTTTTTTTTTTTTTTTGCCAAGGGCTATCTGGATATCTATAAAATCATTCTTGGGCGATACAAAATTATCAACTTAAAAATTAGCTATGAAAAATGCTCCTAGATTTATTAAACTTTGAGTCCTGCCTGTGGTTGCCTTGGCAGGGCCAGACCAAATGATTTTGCAGGCTGGACGTTCCTCACCCGTGATCTATAGGGCCATCCATGGTGTCTTATTCGTCTGCCTGCTTTTTTGAACGGCCTTTAAGGCAGCAGGTTCCATGAGGGAGAAAGAATTCTTTCAACAATTGCTCAAAGAATTCATTTTCTGACCATCTGATGAAACCACCTCACCTAGTCTTTGTCCTGGCTCCCAAACAAGCTGGTTTTGAGGCTGAGGCTGAGTGTCACACTGAGAGACAAGCTGTGCTCTGGCCAGGGAGTACAGGCTAGAGGAAACTGATAACTACCCTCTTTTCCCAAGGGAAAGGGGAAGTGTTGATGCAGGCTAGTGAAGGTAAAGAATGGTCCTGGGGGTGGAACTTTCACGCAGCTGGAGGTTAGGACTAACGCACGATGGGGTAAGGGCTAAGTCTTCATGGGGAAAGTTAGCCATTTTCCCTCTCTGCCTCACTTATAATTCTTTCTCATGCTAATGGGTAAGTGGAGCCCCATCAATGTCACAGGAAGCAGCTTCTTTCCAGATCTTAAGTGGGTAAGCTTTGTGTTCCTGGGCAGGAGGCCATCTGGTAGGGGCCATTGGAGGCCTTCTACAGCCCACCTTCTGATCCTGTTTGGGATGAGTTAATCACTCATGGGTAGCTGCTGGCCCTCCTGACCCAGAAGCCCTTTCTAGCTAAGCCCTTTACGGAGCAGCAAGGCTGACGAGGCTCAGGGCCCTGAGAATGGGCAGGCCTCTCCATGATCTCCTCGCCTACCTGCCCTAAAGGCAGTGCTGACTCCTGACATCCTGTCCCATGGTGGTAGAGCGAGAAGAGGATTATATTGTTTTTCCCTCAGATGTGTGAGTATCTCTCTGAGCACCAAAGCCAAAGACTGGTAAAACACCTACCCCATCATAGAATGAAACGGAATTCACGTGATCCTTGGAAATGATAATACTTCCATGATGACGGTGAGAAAACAGAAGGCCTCTAGAGAAGAAATATACTTTCCCTGGAAGGAAAACAGAGCTGGTCAGAGCTGGTCAGAGCTGGAGGGCTGGGCCCTGGGGACCAGATTCCAATGTCCTTCTTGTAGGTACCAGACTAGTAACTACAGAACAGTATCTGCAGCACTTCAGTTACATGATTTTTATTCTGAGTCCTGTGCTCTGTAGAAGCCAATGTACCCTCTGAGAGCCTCAGAGAGAAATGAGGTATCAGACACAATCTCTGATTAAGAATCAGAAAAACAAGTAAGTTATCAGCTGATGAGGAGGAGCAACATTCACATTCACGTATGGGTGTCCTCCAGGGAAACACTGAAAAAGACTCAGTATGTCTGCTCCATTACTGAGTTTATAGGTGCCCCTTTCTCCTATTTTGGCAGAAGCTGGCTCAGGTCTAAAAAGACCACATTCCTCACTTAAGGCCTGAGAAGGAGCACTACAGTCCTAGCTGAAGGACTAGTGAAGGGAGTCTAAGGGTCTCTGTTTCCAGCAAAGGAACATCTGAGTTAGGCAATAACTGGGTTCTACAGACACTGGAGACCTGCTGTTCTGTAGTTTACACATGCAAAAAAATGGTGAGATGTGGATGCTGGATGTGGGCTCCTTAGGACAAGGATTCAGGTCCGAGGAGAGCTGCTGTTTCTGGGATGACCAAGGTCATTCAGAATAGTTCAGTATAGGCCCTATCAGGCAGACCACAGAAAGATGGACGGCAAAGATGACGAGGATTAGGCTTAGCTTGTGCTTGCTTTGGAGACCCAAATGAAGCACCCAGAACACCTCTAAGTCCCCTGGGTGAAGCTGTTTTCTGGAGCTGGTCCAAGCTGGATCCTTTCTGTTCCTGTAACAGTCTTTCTTTCCCTGTTTTCACATATAGAGAAAAGAGAAAGTAATTCTTGGAGTTCAAGGCCTGGTAAGTGTGTGTGCAAGTGTATGCATGTTAATGGGAATAGGGAGAAGTGGAGAAGATGGAGGCAGTTTTTAGGTAAAAGAGGAAGGTTTGGAGCCTGCATATCAATGAGAGAACTAGTTGATCAGCCAGAGGGAATTAATGCCAACCTTACCATCTGTGGCAGCAGCTGCCAGCAACTAGCTAGCCCACTTCAAGGCATCCGGGTTCAAGCCCTATAAGCCTCCCACCTCTAACAAGTAAAGCCTGGCCTTCTTTGTATACAGCCTTGCCCTAGGGCCCTTTTCAAAAAAAATATATATATACACATATATGTGTGTGTGTGTGTGTGTGTGTGTGTATCTGTATTGATTTCAGAGAAAGGAAGGGAGAGAAAGAGAAAGAGAGAGAGAGAGAGAGAGAAAGAGAGAAACATCAATGATGAGAGAGTGTCATTGATCAGCTGCCTTTTGCACACCTTTGACTGGGGATCGAGCCCACAACCCGGGCATATGCCCTGACTGGGAATTGAACTGTGATCTCCTGGATCTTAGGTCGGTGCTCAACCACTGAGCTATGCTCGGCCGGGCACCCTAAAGGCCTTGTGAGTAGGAGCTACTCATGCCTCAGCCTCATCCTGTACCAACACCAAGGTTCCTTGCTGCTGTTCCCAGACCATTCCCCTCCATGCTGGCACAATATTTTCATTCCCTTAGAGACACAGCCCCTCCTTTCCTTCACTGCTCACACCTACTGCCCTCCTAATCACTCCCCAACATTTCCAACAGCTTCTGAATGGCTCACGGCCTTCTCTTCCAAAAGCCAACACTCCCATTCCTTCTGAGAGACCAGGGGATGGCCCATGCCATGTTCTGGTCTCACTGTTCCTTAATCCCAACTGCACAGCAATAAAGTAGCACCCAGAAAGTCTTAACCTGTGGAATCTTCAACTCTAGACCCTACTTCCTAAAATTAGCATCCCATTATCCATTTAGTTCTCTCACTCCTGAAACCTCATCCTCTGATGTCACCAAGCCTTCAAAGCCTCCAGTCCTATTTTCCCCTATTGCTCAGCAATTTCCTCATTTCTTCTCATTCACATCCAAGGCAGGTCCCCCAGACAGGGTCTATCTACTTTGAATCTCTGTTTTGTCAGGGGAAGGGATGGAAACAGATTTTACTTTACTATTCATCAAGTATATCATATGCATTATAGTTTCCCATCTTCACAACAATTATAAGAAAAGTATTTTTATAGGACTGATGGGGAAACTTAACTTTAGAGAGATTTCCCAAGAAGTCACAGAACTACTCGATAGTGGGGCCAGGTACAAAACACAAGTTTGTCTGATGCCACAGCACTGTTCCACACTGGGCCCTTTGGTTCTCTCACCACTCTTCCCTTCCTTTTTGCTCTTTCCAAAGCCCATGTGTAGCTAATCTGACCATGGGCCTTTTCTACTTCCTCAACCTCAACAAGCCCACAGTTCTGCCCAGCAGTCCATCCACTGCTGTCTCCCAACCCCTTCCACCAACTCCCCAGGAGCCAGCCTTCCAGATTCTGGGCTTACCCTCTACCTGTGTACCTCTAATGTGAATTTTCTCTTGGACAAACCTCAAAATCCTCCCAAAGCTTCTAGAAAAGAGCACAGTTCTAAGAGTTTGCACATTCCAAGTACTCACTGGAAAGACAGGGAAAGAAGCAGAGCAGGGAGGTCATCTCCAGTACTTCTCCCTCTAGACTCTGAAGTCTCAAAACAAAATGGAAAAGAGGAAAACAGAAATTCACAAGGCAATGCTGAAAAGCACCAACTATGGCTCCTGGCCCAGGGCAGAGACTCTGTAAACAAGAACTGGTTTTAGTACTGGTGCAGTTACGCCTCTGGCTCTGGGAGCAGTACTTCTGTCATTATTCTCAGAGCACACATGAGATGATTGAAGTGACTCATAGGGTGGCCCAGTGCCAGTGCCCTGGTTGGTCTCTTAGGTCCTAATCCACTTTCTGTAATAACACTCTGGTATCTGCTCTGGATTCGTGACTGTCAGATTACGTACTGAAGGGACGTGCCTTTGCAGGGGTTTCTCAGTGACCAGTGTAGACAACTCCTGAGGAGATCTTCCTGGCTCTTTGTCTCATCCCTGGTGCCCCAAGTGGATGGGCTCTGCCATTCCTTCTCCATTCTGTATGAAAACCCCGGGTGAGAGAATGTTCCCCATCACTACCTAAAAGCAGCATGGGACTGCAGCATGGTTCTGTCTTTGCTTGACCTCTGCATTTCCAGGAGTCCAACAGGAGGAGGAGGAGCCCTCAGAACAAAAAAAGACACTATGTGCCAATGAAGAATTTGGCTTTTCCTCCTTCAGACAACTGGCTGTACAAATAAAAATTCTCTTATGGTCCAACCTGTGTAAAGAGTGAACATTTATCACTACTGGGGAAATATTATGATGTAATGGCTGAATAATTTTCATTCTCAGTATGTGAAATATACACACATGGTTTAAAAAAAAAAAAAAGAAAACAAAACCCTGATGACTGTCCTGTGACTTGCTTACTTATCTTGACACCTGTTCTTAAACCAACCAGGCTATAGGTACAGCAACATGCAGCTGCACAGGGTGGGCACAAGTAGGTTTAGTTGTTTATATGGAAAACAATACAATAGTTAATAAGTAGTACAAGAATAAACTGTTTCATGTACTCACAACTGTAAACCTACTTGTGCCCACTCCTGTATAATTCATTCATGTTCAGTGCGGCAGAAGATACTCTTTTTTTTAAAAAAAATATATCTTTATTGATTTCAGAGTGAGGAAAGGAGATGGAGAGACAGAGATAGAAACATCAATGATGAGAGAGTCATTCATCAAGTCCGCAACCCGGGCATGTGCCCTGACGGGGAATCGAACCCTGATCGCCTGGATCCTAAGTTGATGCTCAACCGCTGAGCCACGCCCGGCCAGGTGATACTCTTTTTTAAAGAATCCCTCAACAGCTTAGTGTGGGCACAAGGGAACACATGAGAGGGTGCAGAATGAAGGCAGCAGACAGTGCTGCCTGGGCCTTCCTGGGCCCATTGCCTGGGTCTTCCCATCACAGGAAGGCGAAACTCAGTTTGGCCAGAGTTCTCAGGATGTGTCAACAGCCCCACGTGTCAATGGGAACAGAGCTGCTGTTCCTCACTGCTGAACAATCTCTGTCCAATGGAAGAAAATACTCTTAAACTCTCTAGAGCACTACAGGGAGAATGAAGGAACAGCCTGGAGTACTATTAATAAAAATATGGTCAAGTGATATCAAACAAAGGTGCAAAGGCAACTCAAAGGAGAAAGGAGTCTTTCAACAAATGGTCCTAGAAAAACTGGATATTGCTGTGTAAAATAATGAGTCACCACCTGTACCTTGCACTGGACTTTCTGCCCATTCCCACCAGATAGAGTGGAAAACCTCATACTTCATAGGAACATCAGATAGAGTACTCAGAAGGATGTTGTCTCAGTAGTGGGGTGAAATTAACCCTAAATTAAATGCTGCTTTGCTTCCTGCCTAACAAAGCTTAAAGGCAAGGCCCAGATTACAGACCTAGAAGAAAAATATATTAAAACAATTATAACTGTATCCCATATGTTTAAGAAGCTAGAAGACTGAACCATCTTAACTTGAAACATAAAAAATGTAAAAAAATATAGAAATCAAACTTCTAGAGATAAAAAAATACACTGTCTGAAAAGAAAAAATACACTGGATGAGGTAAATGATATTAGACAACTGTGGACAAAAAGGGGTTAAATACTTAATCTGAAAAGCTCAGGGCAGGCCTGGTGGCATTGCAAACTCAGAGGCCTAAAATAACCACAAAGGATGGTCTGAAATTAAAACTTTCTAAACTTAAGCAGTTTGTGGCTGGTAGCCATGTCCTGAGGCAGTATTTTTCCCTAACAAAGGAAAATCTTCACTTAACTAGTCTGTTATCTTTTTGCATATGAGATAACATACCTGATTAACATGCCTTTGCAAAACAAAGCAATTTCCCCTTTTTCAGGGCTATCAAAAAGCACAGAGCTAAGCATTACTGTTGACTGTTAACTATCCTGCACCCACCTATGTAAAAGAAGTGTGTTTATCATTTTACTTTTTATCCAATCCCAGAGGTCCCCCACCCTTTGCTTTCTAGGGCCTCCCTAATCTATCACCAATGGATTTCATATAACCCATTTAGGATTCCTCCTTTGATTGTAATCTATAAAGCAAGGTGTGAAACTGCCTTCTCCGGAGCACTACCCAACAGTTCTAGAGATCAAAAGTCTTCCCCCCTCCTAGTGCCTCCTCCTGTGCGCCCCTTAGATAAGACCCCTGCGGAACTTACTAAAAACTTACTACTCTTTTTAATTTGAATTGACAAATCTGGCTTTAGCCTGGGAATCTCAAAACACTCCATCCATGGACCCTAATAAAGGCATGTGCCTGAGGTCCTGCCTCTCTCTCTGCCTGCACCCTGCCTAGCCCTCCCTGTGTGGCCCCCTCAAGGCATGCCATGTACTTCCCCTAGGACCTGTGAGTGCTGTATTAAACTTCTCTACTTCAATTTCTTTCTTGGTCTGTTGTTGAACTTGGCTCACCATCTAGCACCCTGTGCTTCACTTTACAAATGTTAATTTAACAAACATAACAACAGCCCTAACCGGTATGGTTCAGTGGCTAGAGCTTCGGCCTGCGAACTAAAGGGTCCTGGGTTCGATTCTGACCAAGGGCATGTACCTTGGTTGTAGGCTCGATCCCCAACCCCAGTAGGGGTGCTTGGGGGCAGGCAACCAATTGATGTGTCTCTCTCTCATCGCTGTTTCTCTCTCTCCCTCCCTTCTATCCGAAAAGCAATGGAAAGAGTATTCCCGGGTGAGGATTTAAAAAAACAAAAAAAAACCAAAAAAGCAAACATAACAACAAAGGACAAGGTTAGTAAGTTAAAATACATAAAAAAAGAAACTATGCAAACTAAAACACAGAGAAAAATTATTGAAAATAATCAGGGAGCTGTTGGACAACTTCAGCCAAATATATGTAACTGGGCTCCCAGTTACATATATTTGAAGGGGAGGGGAACAACTAAAGAAATAATGGCCAAAAAACTTCCACATGTGAGAAAACTATAAATCTATCAATCAAGAAGCTAAATGAATTCCAAGCACAAGCAGCATGAAGAAAACCACACCAAAACCATCCCACATAAAAATCAAGTTGCTTAAAATCTGTGACAGAAGAAAGAAAATCTGGAGTGAAAAAAAACCAACAACAACTTTATGCAGAAAGGAACAAAGATAAGGACGGCAGATTTCTGCTCAGAAATAATGCAAACAAAAAGTAGAGTGGAGCAACATCTTTAAAGCACAGAAACTGTCAACCTAGAAGTCCTTACCAAGTTGAAAATATCTTTCAAATGTCCCAAGGAGTGGGGCATCTGAAATGGCTGTGAGGACTTTGGCAAATCCTCTCCCCAGGAAGCAGCAACAAAACTGCACAACTATTTAAGGACTAGGAAATAGACTGAAGTTGTCCAATAAAATTGAGAAGCATTATTTGAGAAATGCTACAGAAGTTTGGTAAGAACAGTGGACATCTCTGGTGGTTTAGTGTGGGGCTATTCATATGATTACCCCTCCAGCTCTGCAGTCTTATGAGGGAGAAGGGCAGGCCTCCTGGAAGGGTTGACTTTATTTGGGCAAAGCACAGAAAATTCTATACTAGGGATGTAAAAAATGATAGCAATCAAAGTGGCAAACATTCAGGGAAGGCCAACATACCAGCTAGGCAGAGATTTCAATGCTGGTTGGTGCAACTAGCCAGAAATGCAACAGGAAAATCAGGGGACTGAGACAACAAATGACAATTATGTTTTTACATGCTTTTAAAAAGGAACAACAAACCCAAATGGAGTCACCAAACCATAACTTAATAACTAAGCTAACAGTAGTTTCAGCCTCTCCCAGGAGTGGAATTTTAAACCAGTCTGGAATTTCAGATCAACACCAGTGAGGTAATCTGCCTGATAAGACCTTCTGCTAAGGAAAGGTGTCTGCTTAAAATAATCCACTCTTTTTAACTCATCAGAGTGTGCTTATAGTTGCTAGATGGAATGCTACCCAATTCATGAATTACTTAATAAAGCCAAGAAGGTCTTTATATTTACTCAGTTGGATTTTGTTCTTTAACAATACAGCAAGAAATACAGGCTGTAAGGCATCTTCCTAGTGCCATGTGCACCAGGAGACAGGAACAAGAATGCTCATGACAGTGCTGTCTCCAAGAGCAAAAACCTATAAAAAAACACAAATGTCTGTCAAGAGCCAAAAGGACAAATAGCACATTTTCATACAAAAAATCCCATGGAGCCATGACAGTGAATGAACTATATGGCTACATACACAATCTGAACAAATCTTAGGAACAGAATATTGAGGGGGAAAAAGCAAGTTACAGAACACATAGTGTATGATTCTATCTGTATTACACTGAAAAACAAGGCACTGTTTAGGGATAGAGGCAAATGTTGTAAACTTCCAAAGTGGGCTCCTGAGGATTAGATACTGGGCAGCCTGCCTGATCAAGGTCAGCAGGGTAGGGATGAGAAGGGCACATGAAGGACATGAATGAACAGGAAGCTGAATCACAAGAAGTCTCGTGATAGAAATCACTAATGGGGGAAGGGAAAAGGTCCCAGAGCTGGAAGCATTTCAAAGGAAGGGAATTAGACCTAAACTACCCAACCTCAGGCAAGTTTTCACCTTCTATGGGGCTCAGGATGTAACGGTGAATAAAGACAGTGCATGCTGAAGAGCCTTTTAAGGGCCTTCAGAAGACGAAACAGATAAATTACAAACTCACCGCAGTCTCAAGTAGAGGCAGATTTGTCAAGACACTAATGACACTTAAGCTTCAGGACCTCTCACCTGCCCAAGCCCCCGTCCAAGACCCTGAGAAGAGCCCCTAACCATTTTGTTATTTTTCCTTAGAGAGCCCCCAACTGGTATAAACTTCAAGCCTTACAACACTGACCTGAATTACCACACAGCCAGGAGACTCCTGTTTAAGTTCTCTGCTCCTACTGAATTTTCCTCATGAAACCATCTTCTAATTTAAACTACATTTCCCTCAGGAACTAAGAAAGTCTGAAAAAATCTAAGCTTTCAAAAGAGTATGACTAACAAGGCTCCAGAAACCCCTGGCTGTGGCCTTTATTCTTGTGTAGAGACCTCAGGATATACCGAATCTTGCTGGATAACTCAATACAATGTAAGATTATTTTTGTAACAAGGCCGTTTGCTAAGAATGTACAAACTAATTTGGCAAATACCCTTGCTAAATATTATCATTGGCTCAACTATAACAAAGCACAAACACCTCTGTGTTGTGTCCACAACCTGCCTTGAAAATACTGTGCAATCTCACCCCAAGCTGGCGGCACTGTCACATACTCCCTGCCATTAATAAATGTCCTAGACTCTCCTGTCTTCTGCAGCAGGATTGGAGAGGCAGAAATACAGAGGCTGCAGCAAAGGCACAGTAACACATGCTATTCCTTACTACCCCAGTGTTTTCTGGAGCACCAGAACTCCCTGTGCTTTGTCTTCTAGGTGGATGGAGGAGCAGGAGCTGAACCAGCGATCTGAGGACAGGGAGAGGAATCTGACACCAGACAGAATTATTGTCAAGAACAAATTACCGAGAAAGAGGATTTGCTTAATGGAGGTTGAGAAATTTGTGGAGTCACAGCTCTTCCTCCACAAAATGGCTATATCTAACAGAGAAAGAACAGAACTCATTAAAAACTGTTACTTTGAGGAAACCAAAAAGAAGCATGAATCCCCATGAAATCCATTCAAGGTCACCAAGGTTCTTGAGAATCTTATATAAGCAGAAACACTGCCAGCTTGGACTGAAAGATACAGAGAGAGTATGAAATGCGACAGATCACCAAAATTCTACTGGTAAGAAGCAGGGTCATAAAACCACTCAGATACTAAATGCCATCTTCATGAAAAAGGAAGGGTGACAGAGGTGTAGCCTCTAGCCCAGAGGGCAAAGCTAAGAATTTAGAGAGTGGAACCAAGAGCCCAGAAGGCAGAGTTAAAAGTCCTGGAGGACTATTCCCAGACCTTGAAAACAAATCCAGGAACTGGAGTATGCCCAGCTGGATTACAAAGCTGCCTTGGACTGGTGACTCCTTTTTACCTTCCATTCTGGCTGGTAGCAGAAGAGAAATGCAGAGAGATGAAAGTATGAGAAATTCAACAACCCAAGGGAGGTTCTCTAAGATGGAGAAGTCACAGGGCAAGGACCTTGGGGAGGAGGAGCTATGAGTGATCCTGGCTCACAGCCAATGATAAAATAGAACCTCAATCCTACAGCCCAAAGAAACTGGAATCTGCCAGTAATCTGGATGAATTTGGGCTCAGGTTCTTCCCCAGCACCTCCTATAGACTAGTCTGGCCAATATCTTGACTTCAGCCTTATGAGACCCTAAATATGGATCTAGCCAAGTTTGCCTAGACTTCTGACCTATGGAATTGTGAGATAATAAATGTGTTGTTTTAAGGTATTAAATTTGTGGTAATTTGTTACACAGCAATAGAAAACTAATTCAGATTTTGTTTAGGTCTACAGATTCTATTTCTGGACATGTTGCTGCTCTAGCCCATTCTGAGAGTAATCCTCAGCCAGGAATAAGAGCACCAGGTGCAGTTCTGGGGCCAGCCCTTCCTACCACAAGTTTCTTCATCTGCAAAATGGGTGGATCAAAGGAGAAAAGCTGTAAGAAGACACTTCTACACCAACAAGTCTTTTCAAATATCAGATATACTATTAATTACAACACCCATGCCAGTACCTGCAAAACAGGTACCAAGACACAGCTCACCTTCCTCAGGCCAGGATTCTACATTGCTGGAATAAAGATATGCTCCTTCTCCTCCTGTTAGAAAAGTGCCCAGGAAACAATCATCCTCCTTTAAAAAAACAAACACACACAAGGAACAGGTGATTCATAGCATAAACATTCACAGAATCAAAACTCTTGCCTAAGTTTGTCTACAAAAGCTGCCGAGTCAGCCTCAGATAAACTCAACTTTTTTCCACCATCTTTGGCATTGACAGGATCTTTGTCATGCTACTGGAATCCTTTGACTTGTGCTGAGAAAAATAATGTAAGGTCCTCTCTGAGTCTAGGCACCAAAGCTTGCAGTGCCTGCTCATGTTTCAATGGATTTATACCTACTGGAGGCAGCTCTTGGCCTAAAGCTTTGACCTCTTAACTCTGTATGTCTAGGCCAATCTGAGATCTGCTTCTTTTTTAAGATTTTTAAATTGAGTTTTAGAGAAAGAGGAATGGAGAGGGACACAGAGAGCGAAACATTGATTAGCTGCTTCCTGCACGCCCCCAACTGGGGATCGAACCTGTAACCAGGGCATGTACCCTGACTGGAAATCAAACCAGCAACCTTTCGGTGCATGAGATGACACCCAACCGAGATCTGCTTTTAATAGTACTGGAAGATTAAAAACAAGCAAGCAAACAAACAAACAAACACTGCAAGGTCTAAATGGCAGAAAGAATCCTTCTAATTGTGTACCCATAAGTGGTTACTTCTAGAGCTCTGCTGGGAAGGGAAAGAATGTGAACAGGAATTGAGACAAAGAGGTATAGATCCTTTAGATTAGCCCTCAAATGAGACATTTTAAATTATCTTTATAGAAACTGTTTACATTTCATTTTGATACAGTGTTAACATTAAGAATAAGAAGGCTACTTACCTTCACTGCTCGCTGGGTTTTCTCAGACAATTTTACTTCATTATCTTCTACCTGTGTCCGAAAGGAGTATAGTTTCACTTACTACTTCAAAGGCAAGACTCTGCTAGGTGCCCCCCACCCCCACTCCACCCGTGGGTTCCTACAGTTCCAGGAGACTGACTGGACAGTCCCTCCATCAAATCCAGTCTCTCAGGTCCTGACCACTGGCAGAGTAGACTGTGGTCATCAAAGCTCAGAGCCCAAGCCTGTGAGGGGCTCTCTCACTGGGACTGAGGTTCAGCTAAATGAGCCTATGATACGTGGAGAGGGTATGTTAGTCCCCACATACACTTCACTTCAGAGGAAAACAACTAATATTAGGGATGAAGGAAAGAGGACATTATTAAAACACTCTGAGCATGTTCTCACTTAAACATGTTCGTACTGAGGATAACTCCTGCTCTTCTCTACCCATGTTTCCAGAATTGTACAAACAGGATATAAAGAGCTTCTAAAATGGATATTCAGATCATTACCAGACTTACTGCTGTCATACTTTGTGTCCCAAGGCACCAGAGTTTTAGAGCAAGTCCCACTGATGAAAATGGGACCTTTCCACACATAGAGACACCCTGCTATACAAACTCAGGAACACCCATTCTGACCACAGAAGGGAGCCACATAATCCACTCCTCACTATCTGTGTGTGGCCCTAGATAGGCTGGTCAATTTCTAAGTCTCCTCATCTGTAAAATGGGGGTGTTAATTTCTTCCTTTCCCAAATTTAATAGGGACCCAGATAACTCAGTTCCTTTCTTTTAGAACTTTTCCAGGGTTATGAGAGTTAAACTAGATTTGATTATATAAACAGAAAACTGAAATAAAAACTTCCATTCCTGAACAGCAGCTAGTTCAGGATCTGACAATTTACCAGGGACCCAAGGAAAGGCTCTTCCTCAAATGCTCTCTCGACTGCTCCCCCATTTGTGTCCCCTTCAACTGATGAATGACACTAACCAGCCAGGAGCAGAATCGGGGAATGGCTGCGGTCAGGACTATGGAGCTGGTTTCTGTGTTCACAGTGCCATCTGCAGGAAGACCACAGACATGCAGGTTACCACTGGCACCTGAGTCCCGCGCCCCGCGGGCCCCAGGCAGCCACACCCCTCCCCTTCTTGGGGTGCAGGGAGTGTGATACCCTCCGGAAATGAAAGCTTCCTCATGGCGGCAGGGAGGCTAAGGAGAAGTCCCCCGTGTGATTAACTCTATCACTGTTTACAACAAATACACACACATTTAAATGAAGAATTCTGGGAATTAGTCCTTTTTATCTACACTTTTAAATTTTTACCCAGGTGGTACAGGTGTGCACACATTAAAAATCAAACAGAACACGATCAGGCTCATCCTACCAGCACTGGATACTATCATTCTCTAGAATTTTTTGCCAACAAAGTGGGTAATGTTTCAAACTGCTTCTCCTTGACTATAGTAAGACTGTACGTGTTCACATGTATGTACATGTGAAGATAACACGTATGTTATGTATAGATAACTGTTTGATTTTCCATTTCTGTGATTTTCCATTCACATGTTTTGCCTACCTACCATTGGGTAGCTTGTCTTTTTCCTATTAATTTGTAAGAGTGCTTCACAAGTTAGGATATATACCCTTTGTTTATCATAAATATTCTAGTATTTTCACCAGTTTATTGCTGGCCTTTTGACTTTGTTTATGGTTTATTTTGCCCCCCTCCCATCTCCCTGGCCAAAAGGTTCAAGCTCTGCTTTCCAGGGACCATATACACTTACCATTTTCTTTAACCAAGATCTGAGATGTCAAAAATGATTCTGAGAAGACCACAGACCCTAAGCTTCCCCTTCCGCCCAGCAAGTCAGGAATGTCATAGACAGTCATACAAGCCTGTATCAAATTAGAAAACGGAGTCAGACCAGCTGTCAGTCTTACACCTTCATGGAGAGACCCAGAAGAAATAGACCACAAAATACTGCTTCCAGGTACATTTCAAAAGAAAACTGGAGAGATTCTAAGGAAAACTCAAGTTATTTGGAAATACATCTCAGAACTGGGAGGAGGAGATGACTTAAAACACAGGCTTCCCTGCAGTTGCTGCTGCTTTTTCTTTTAATCCTCCCTGGAGATACTGTTTCCATTGCTTTTCAGAGAGAGTAAAGGGGGGGCGGAGAAACATCGATGCAAGAGAGACACATTGATTGGTTGCCTCCTACACGCGCCCTGACTGGGGCGGGGGATCGAACCTGCAACCCAGGACCCAGACCCTTCAGTCCGTGGGCTGATGCTCTAACCACTGAGCAAACTGGCTGGGGTCCAATTGCTTCTTGATCAGAGATACACTTGGGCTAGAAGAGTATCTTTAAGTTTCTATAAATTCCCTCATATTGCTTATTCTCCCTAAGAGGCAAAATAACAGCCTTCCTTCTTAACTGTGACTAGTCCCCAGCCTTTTAGAGTGGAAGTGTTTCTTTTTTTTTTGTTTCTTTTTTAAATATATCTTTATTGATTTCAGAAAGAGGAAAGGAGAAGGAGAGAGAGAGAAACATCAATGATGGGAGAGTCACTGATCAAGCCCACAACCCGGGCATGTGCCCTGACTGGGAATCAAACCCCGATCGCCTGGATCCTAGGTCGAAGCTTAACCGCTGAGCCATGCCCGGCCGGGCGGAAAGTGTTTCTTGTAGGCTTATGTACACTCACAAGCTCATAACATCCCAACACAGCTATACCTTTACCAACCCCTTCTCTGGTGTAAGTTCTGAACAAGTCTGAAAAGGTGTTCATTTGTTTGGTAGTTGCACATGTCTTCATGGATATTTTGGGGTACATGTGAACACCTGCAAATGCTACCTTCAGTACCAAGAAAATAAAAAGAAAGCTATTCAAGCTTTTATGGCAAGACAAATAAAAATAGAGGCTTCAGTAGGCTGGAAAAGAAAAACCTGGAGCAACTCAGAGAGAGCTCCTGAATGGCTGGTAAGAAAGCCCTGAATTACCAATTAAAACTAGTGGAAATGGAGCAATTCTGGGGGGAATCTAGCAGAAAAGCAGAAAATGATATGAGCCAGGGTCTGGGATGACCATTACAATCTGGTGAGGGACATGGGGTAAACAGCCCTCTCAGCCTGACATTGCTGAATGGCCAGGTGCAGAGCTCCTGAAGCTAGGGTCCCTTTTCACACATTGTTGTGCTAGCCTGGGACCCCTGTTCCACCCTCAGAACAGAGACAAAAGACCTAGGGGTCTTGAAGGAATGGGAATGGCTAGATTTTAAAATAAAACATGGTCCCTATCTTCAGGAAATATATAGTTAGAGAGACAAGAGCATTCTTATACAAGAGTCATCATATATTAATACAGAATTATGCCTGATATATATAGTAGAAACTGTAAGTAATACAGGAATACAGTACTTGAAGGAAAAAATCAATAGGAAAGTTTGGAAAGGATGCAGAGCTTCCTTCTGGCCTGGAAGGGAGGACAGGATTTGGACAGAAAGCACCAACGTCCCATCCCTTCTTTCCTATTTCATTAGCTGCTGCTGAAAGCATTCTTAACATAACAGTACGATCCTACTGGACTTCTAATTGCCTACTTCTGTGCAAAGCACCTTCCAGAGCACTGCACAGGTCTTATGAGAGAAGTCAGGGAGTTTAAAGTCTAGCAAGGAGATAAAATACTATCGCCCAAATATCAGAAAGCATTTCCCAGCATATTGGAAAAGTCTCAATTAGTTCTAAAAGAGTACTGAAACAAAGGTGCTGACAGACAGGAAGCAGGTACAAAATCAGAAATTACTCACAACCTTCAAAACCACCCTTATTGTACTACTCTCTGTTGATAACACTATTGCGTTTCCACTGGTGATGGTGACGGGCATGCATCTGGACCAAGTCATCCACAGCTGCCCGCGTAGTTCTCAGTGACCAAAAGCTCACTGGAATTAAGGTTCAGGCAGTAGCCGCAAAAGAGACTCAAGGTATAACTTGTGCCCATACATCCAGAACCAGAATCTTCGCTGGATGTCCACCATCCTCTCATGCATTACTTGCCTGTCCTTCTCATCAAGATGCACTGGGGTTAAGGGAGGACTCAGTTTGTGGCTGGGAGCAACTGGTCCAGAAACTTTGGATCCCCTAGGCCATGGCAGCCCAGCTGGGGACCAATATCAGGCCCCTGGTTTTTTGTTTGTTCTTACTTATTTTCACAGGCCCCTGTTAAGGGCATCAACACAGGCCTTGGAACAGTTAGAAACCACTGAAAACGTGTCGACCTGTGTTGAGGCAGGTTTGTTCTCAGCTCTCATTTCCACATGAGGAAGAGGGGGGTCTCTCTAGCCCCCAGCTAAGACTCTGGACCAGAGGGAACCTAGGCAAGGGAGTGTGGACATGGTGGGCTTGGCACAGGTGCCTGGGCACCCTCAGAAAGCACAGACTCACAAATGCTGCAGGTGGAACAGTTCTGAGAATACCAGTTTCCGCAGGTAAAGGATGGGCTGCCAAGACTCCCACCCACTTCTACCTCACCCCTTGTAGATGTCCTATACAGGCCATTCCCTGTAGCTGACCTGTCACAGAGCTCTGCTTACCGTCTTCACAAAGTATAAGCTATCTTCACTGTCCAGAGGCACGATTCTAGAAAAGGAAAGAGATGGGAGGTACAGTCAACATTTACAATGCTCTTTCTTTCAACTTGGTAGCAACCTGTAGACCCAGATTTTTCTCAGGGATTTTCAAAACACTGGGTTATATGTATGCAGAATTAGAAAGTAGGCGACTTGGAGAAAAATGGGCCCATTCCCTGCGTCCACCCCTCAGTGTTTCAGTAGGAAGCACTCAGCGTACAGGGTCTCAGCTGACCACAGCCAGCCCCGGGCCCAACACTGGAGTGATGCCACTGCCAGGTGTGGAACTGTATGAAGACAACCTACACCAGCAGTTACAAGGTAGCTTCTCTTCTCTTTTTGCTTCTAAAACTTGCCCAAATGAGGATACACCACAGACATATACTTACCTTCCCTGATTATTCACAGCATGTATATGAAAAGTCATCTTAGAGCTGTAGACCCAAAACAAAACAAAATCAAAGTCAGTAGGCTCTTGCTGACCCCTGGCTGGTGCACTCCCCAGACATCTGCTGCTGCAGTGCATTGTGCAGGGCCCTCACAGCACACTTGCCAAGTGTGGAGGCACCATCTAACTCTAGTCATGGCCCTGCCTCTGTGCAGATTCTCAGGGCTGTCTTGGACAAAGCAGGAGAGAACCATGTGACAGGACTGTTGCCCACTGCAGACTGTTGCCCTCTACTGGCCCTGGGCCTACTGCCCCACAGCCTGACACACTGTCCTGACCTTCTTCCTCCTTTACCACTTCTAGGTCAAGCTGCCATTCCTGCTTGGTGTCTGAGCAGGGGCCAGGTCCCACGTTCCTCTCGGGAGACGATTTGTTAACCTGATGCAGTTTGAGGGTACTCGGTGAAGAGACCTTGTGGAGATAAGGGAGTGGGGCTCTAGGAGGACTGGCCCTGGAAAACTCTCCTCCCAATGCCTGGTGATCTCTCTTTGTTCTTTCCCCCAGCTAGAGTGGTATACCCAGGCCCTGGGATTGAGAGGCGGCCTGCCCTGGAAAGGCTGAGTGACTTAGGCAGGGTCCGGAGGAGAGGAGGAGTGGGATGACTACGTCAGCCTTATTGATGGTACAGACAGGACCCCACTGTGACAGCAGCTTACATTTATATGCCTGCTCTCTCTACAAGATGAGAAGATGAGGAAACAGACGCACAGAGCACTCCCTATCTTGTCCAAGGTCACACAGCTAGAAAGCAAAGGAGCTTCCTCAGACTTAGGTCATCAGGAAAAGACAGCCCAGCAGTGCGAGGCCTTCAGGGAACAAACTTCCTCTCTCCGTTCCCTCTCATGGCCAGAGTTACAAGACCCAGAAGACTCAGAGAAAAGGAGACCTGAAGTGAGCCTAAAACCTTGCACAAAAGAGATCTGGCTCTTTCCTCCAGTACTGGAGGTGCACAAATAGAATTTTTCTTGCCAGATCAATTGACTGACTTATCTTTCTAAGTGCTCCTTCTCACTATCCAGGACTGCAGATGTAAAAAAATGTGAGGCATGGAGCTAAGGCACCACAGGACATGTAACAGAAGTGTTCTTAAAGCAACTCCCCAATATTGGTGTCTTTTGACTCCTTTTTTAAAGTGCACCTCATATAGGACAGTGGGTTAAGTGGACTGGACCACACACAGATCCACTGTGATGTGCCGGAAGACGTGTGAAGACTGCCAAGGAAGCCAAATTCCCAGTGTCTAAATCCTGAGACACGGCCAGGCTGATACATCTGAGAGGTTTCTACATCTGAGAGGCAGATAAAGCCCAGGGCAAGTCTTTTCTAAGCAGTGACTGACTGTCTTCACATGCCCAGGACCCCTGACCCTAACATACCTCACCACTCATGTTCCCAGCTTCACCTTTCTAACCTCTAAACTAAGTTTGTAATGTCTCCAACATTTCCAGTATTGATCTGCTCCCTATTCTAGTGTCAGGACACGGCTTTCTCATACAGTTCCTCCATCTTTGGCTCCTTGGCCCCTCAAAGCCCTGATCATGAATGATTCTCCTTCATATATTAGATTAATTTTATTGGAACATTTCTCAGTGGGAAGTGGAATATCAATGACAAGGGAGAAAAGGGTCTTTACAAAACAGACATTAAAAAAATTCCTTAGAGAAAATATCAGCTGTTGCTTACCGTAGGGCTGCCTTAAACTGCACCAACTCAAAGGAATCTAACTCAGATCCCATGGTCTGTTCAGCTACCTCCTTGGCCTATAAAACAAATAACAAACCAGAAACAATTAGCTTTCACAGCAGGAAAGCATACACGTCACTGACAGAAAGAGCCCTTCTAACATTTGGCCAGGAGAATGCTGTACTCCTCCCCTCTATGTGACTACTTTGTATACATCAATAGATTAAAGTGAAACATCATGTTAAGGGAAACAGGTGCCTGCTTTTTCCAGGCTGGGTTCACAGGACACACTTCATTCAGGCAGGTGGGCACTGGAACGTGATCTGCCAAGGAGCTGTAACCAGCTGGGATGGTGCTATTGTGAGGTCTGGAAATGTGAGCGTTTCTTCCCCTCTCCCCTGGCCTTGGGGAGGGACTCCTGCTCTCGGAGATTCTGCCCAATGCTAAGAATATTCAGATACCTTGAGTTACAAAAGATCAGTTAAAACACAAAGGTGTGAGAACTGAGGTCTAAACCGAACCCAAGTTGGTAGCAGGGATTCAAGCTGACTGAGGAGGGGAGATGGCAAGGAGCTGTTGACTATGCTACAGTCTCTCTGCTATCTACATCATACCTAACCTTTCCAATGTCAAATGGCTTCCTTCAGGAAAGGTCCTACTGGCATTGGGAGGCATCAAGCCGACTCTTCTCATCTCCTTACTGGGTCAGATATAGGAATCCAACTCAGCAGGGCAGGTTAACCACAAAACAGCAAGGAAGATAACTTAGGTCAGAGAATGAGGACACGTGCTTGTCTAGGAAAGGCAAGTTGGATTTTCTAATCTTTAGTTGTTTTCTTTTTAAAAAAATGCTGAATTATAGGAAATCAAACTATGTAGCTCAAAACAAACTTACCAAATTTTATTAAAATTCACTGTAGAATAAGCTACATATATATTTTTTAACTTTTAAAAGCCTTTAAAAAACTATTAAGTAAAATAATATACTATAGAATGATTTTTCTTTAACACAATCAGATATCTACAAAGAAGTTGCTGATTAGTTGTCATTCATAAGATAAGGGCAGCTTGGTCACAGGCAGTGCAGGCAGCACAAGCTCAGCGCTTTAAAAGTGTCTCTGGCCCTGGCTGGTTTGGCTCAGTGGTTAGAGTGTCGGCCTGTGGACTGAAGGGTCCCAGGTTTGATTCCAGCCAAGGGCATGTACCTCAGTTGTGGGTGCATGGGGGAGGCAACCAATTGATGTGTCTCTCTCACTCAGATATTTCTCTCTCTCTCTCCCTTCCACTCTCTCTCAGAAAAGCAACAGAAAAAATATCCTTGGTGAGGATTAAAAATAAAAGTGTCTCTGTCCAAGCTCCACGGAGGCCCAAGCTCACACAAAACTGAGTACTACAAAGTGTCCAAAAACAAAACAAAGAAAACAACCCCATCCAGATGGATAGGAAGTTTTACATTAAAATAACTTCTAAGGAAAAAGAAACATGGTATTTAAATTACCTTTGTTAGACTGGAAGTTTTAGCATAACATGCAATGCCAGCCAAAACAGCCTCAATCACAGCAGCATATACCTGGGACAAGAGCCTACTTTTAAAACAAAAAATATGGGTTAACTACAGCATTACAAGGTTTCATCAAAAGCTGCATGTGCAAAAATGACATTTCCTGAGGGACTGATTTTTAAACAGAATAAGAAGTGAAGAGCTGGAACTCACTGATTTCTAAACCTTTTAAAAGCCACGTGCCCCATCTGATTTATACTTTTCTCTGTTAAATCAGGATAAGAAAAGTCAGCTCTCCTTAATTCTGCTCAAAACACTAACCTTCCCTGTTTGTAATCCAACACAAGAAAAGTATGTGGGCTCCCTGACCTCTCCACATGCAGGGGCAGCTACTCAAGAACCCTGAATCCCTTCAGTGTGGTGATACAGGCTTGCTGCTTTTCCAGGAATCAACTGCACCACACCTTCATGTCATCTCCCCAGGAATGCTAAAGGCTGTCTGCTACCACAACCTCAGGGTGGGAGACCTCAGGGGGCAAGAGAGATTGCTCTGGGGAGAAGATGGGCTCCACTTAAACTCAAATTAACAATTGCAGACCACTTTCTAAGCAGCTTACCTGTTCTAGAGACTACAGAATGCTTCTGAGGGGGAACAGTCCCCTCCTAAAGCACCCCCTCACCAATCTTGCTCTTTCTCTCTGACTTCTCACTTCCCAAAGTCATTATAAGAAGGTTTTTTCTTTGCCAGACTGGGATTGCCACCAAGGTCCCTAAAAAATTTAAGTCTGGCTGCCTTTAGGGCAGGTTTTCTCAATCTTAGCATTTTGGGACAGATAATTCTCCAGACACTGCAAACATCCTGATGGGGCAGGTGACTGGTGGGAGTGGTATGGTTAAATTGCCCTTGGTCGAGAGCCACTGCTTTAGGGGAAGGAGAACCAGAATCTCATTAGGATAATTACAGAGAAAGAGGCTCATCCATGAGGCCCTGAAAGGCAAGGGAGATGACTGGCAAAGAAGTGATAAAGCCTTACCTAAGAATATGTCTATTTTTCCCCAGCAGGGCATGGCTCTGCAATTTAGCATCGACCTAGGATCCAGGAGCTCGCAGTTCGATTCCTGGTCAGGGCACATGCCCAGGTTGCAGGCTCAATTCCCAGTGGGGGGCGTGCAGAAGGCAGCCAATCAATGATTCTCTCTCATCATTGATGTTTCAACGCTCTCTTTCCCTCTCCCTCCCTCTTTCTGAAATCAGTAAAGATATATTAAAAAAAAAAAGGAATATGTCTATTTTTAAGCCTTAGAATCTTGAAACAGGTAAAGAAAGGTGACAGGAGTTTAAAAGAAGGAATAAACACAGAAATGACCTGGTCTAACCCTCCCATCTTACAGAAGCAGGAAGTAGGCCTTCCACTCTCTCTCTAAAAATCAATAGAAAACATATCCTTGAGTAAGGATTAACAACAACAAAGGGACAGAAAGAGCACACAGAACAAAATGACAGCTCCAAGGACCAACATATCCTGAGGACTGTTGGCGAGGCGATGGCGAGGGGTATGTCCTGATAGGAAGGAGTCCAACAGGGACACTGCCAATAAGCTTGGCCACTTCTCGGTAAAACTAGAATCCTCTACACTTCGATACTAAGGATGAAGCTGTAAAGAGGTCAGTCTCAAAGATATATAAAGATGCCCTTCCTCCCTCCCCAACCTAGTATCAACACTGGCCAGGCCTCCCCCAGTTTGGCCTTCTCCTACACAGGCCCTCAGAAGAGAGCTCGCGACATAGTCTGGATGGGAGGTGTGAGACCCATGACAGGCGAAGGGTCTGCTCCGTGCCTGGATTGCTCTGCTGCTGCCTTCATTGGGACACCACAAGGCCCAAGTTCCACCAGCTCTGTGACTCAGCAAGTTCCCTGATATGGGCCCAAGCACTCCTCAATACCAGTCCCTGAAGCTGGGCACCAATGCATTTGGGTTAAGCGAAATGTCTAGGGCCCAGAATGAGGACCCAGTGCAGTGGCTAAATATGGCTGGCACAGAAGCACAAGCAGATACAAAGCAAGACTATACATTCCTACAAACATATCAGAATGTGGCTGACTTGCTGATAAAGTGAAGAAAACCCACAAAGAAATGCACACACACTATAATTACAGCTACACAAAACCTAAACATATAATCTTCTAAAAGCTCAGAAAGATACACATTAAGATACTATTGTGAAGTGCCAAAAAGGAAGAATTATGGAGGATCTTCTTTTCTTATCTCTACTTTCCAAATTTCCTGTAGTGTGATTATATTACCTTCTAAAAAGAAGAAGAAGAGACACCAGAGATCTCTCTTTCTCCCTTCACATGAGCCCAGAGGAAAGGCCACATGAGGACATAGTGAGAAGGCAGTGGTCTGCAACTCAAGGAGAGGCCACACCAGAAACCAGCCCTGTTGGCACCTTGATCTTGGACTTTCAGTTTCCGGAATTGTGAGAAAATAAAGTTCTGGCTGTTGAAGCCACCTAATCTGTGATATTTTGTTATGGAAGCCCAAGTAGACTAATAGAAGACTTAATGAGTTAATTTCCTGTTTTTGATTTCCTACTATCTGTGAGGGGAGAGAAGTCAACACTAGGACCTTTCTAAGGCTGCACAGCCTGAGTTCAGATCCGAATTCTGTTCCAAAAGTCTGAGTATCAAATCCAGAGTAAACACTTCTCAGACCAAAGCAGGTTTCACACAGATTTTTCCCAATGGTTTTAGGATGTTTTATTTTTAGGAAAGCCCCCAATAAAAAAAAATGCACTATGCAGAAAACATAGTAAGATGAGTCATGCCATTTAAATGCACAATGTGCAGATAGGAAGCTTCTGAATTTGGAGAGAGGAGCAGGTGGCAAAGCTCGAAGGGTCTCCAGGCTGGACTCCCAGCTGATAGACAGGGGCTGGGAACCTTCTGGGAAACTACATAGCTCTGCTCACCTCATAAAGCAGACGTCCTACCCACTGCTGACCTCAAAAGGAGGTAGACAGGACAGCCCAACTTCTGAGTAACTCAACTTTGAAAAAGAAAAAAGAAAACAAAATAAAGACTTACATTTGTTCAGTTTTCTTAGGCAGCTTGCTGTCCTCACCTGTGAAAGAGGACCTGATAAGAATATGGTGGATCACAGGAGATGCAAACACTTCATAAGAAACTAGAATTTCTTAATTTAATTCAAAGGAGATGTCAAAAACTACTTTTCCCCCCCCTTTTAGTTAAATACTGTACAAGCACAAACAACAGTGAAACTTAGCTTCTCTCAGTATCCTCCTGCATACTGACTTTGACAACCCACTCAGCATCACCACTAAATCCCAGAGAAGACACAGAACCTTAGGCTCTGGAATGTTTTTGCTTTTATTTTAATTTTTTAAACTAGGAGATATAAGTAAGCAGGCTCAGTTCTGACTCTTAATTTCCTTAATTATCCAACCCACGTCATGCTTCTTTCAGAGTTTCCTGGCTCATGTAACGACATCCAGGAGAAAACCTCGTTTTCTGATGTCCTGTGGAGTAGTGCTGAGATCCTCCTTCATTCTAGAGGTTCTTCTCATTGTCTCTTTGGATGCCTGCAGCTTCTGGTTACCCCAGCAAGATGGGCAGCCCCAGTCAGCCTTTCTAGATGGCCCCACAGCATGGAGCCCTTGTTCCTGTAAATGTTTTCAGTTCATGGATACCTTTCCGCTGTGGCCTTTCTTCACTTTCCTCACAAAAAGATTTGGGCACGTACCTAGCTGAGTATCCAAACTCCCAATGCAGCCCACACCTCCTGATACCTCCCTCTGACGCTGAGCACATGGTCTTACACATGGTTAGACCTGATATATGTTGAACCAATAGTTTTTCCTCCTGAAATACATTGTGAAAAATGTGTTAAGCACACCAACTCTCCATTTGCAATCAGAGAGGGAGTTTGGAGGCCTACAAATTGGGCATCATGAACTTCTGAGCAAAGTAGTAAATCATGAGTCCACTTCTAGTTCATGGGAGGAACTAACTATTCATTAAGTTGATGAGAGGATGACTTACAGGGACTTACCCAAGTAAGGAATGTGAGTAGCTCCAAAAAAGTACGTTCTTGAACAAGCAAGGGGTCCCTTTGGTGAGATGCACTGTACTACCTGGATGTCAGAAAAAAGTAAAAATAAAAAAGGAGCGGGGACTTAGGTGTGTAGGACTAGAGAAACACAGTGTTAATTGGCCCTAGCCGATTTGGCTCAGCGGTTAGAGCCTTGGCCTGAGAATTGAAGGGTCCCATGTTCGGTGGGGGTGTGTGGGGGAGGCAACCAATCATGTGTCTCTATCACATTGATGTTTTTTTTTCTCTCTCTCTCTCTCTCTCTCTCTCTCTCTTTCCCCCTTCCACTCTCTCTGAAAAGCAATGGAAAAAAATATCCTCAGGTGAGGATTAAAAAAAAAAGTGTTAGTTAATGGAAGTCAATTTTATTTGACCAACAGCTGATTTATTTTTTTAAAGGGATAGGGGAAAAGATCACTATCAAAATATGTTTTTTATTGAAATTTTTTTTACAGAGGGAGAGAGAGAAACATTGATGGGCTGCTTCTTGAACGCCCCCTACTGGGGACTGAGCCTGAAACCCAGGCATGTGCCCTGACTGGGAATCAAACGGGTGACCTCCTTACGTACAGGACAACACTCAATCCACTGAGCCACAGTGGTTGGGGAGAAAAGATCATCTTTAATAGTTTTTCAAAAGGTAACGCGTGCGCGTGTGCGTGTGTGTAATCTTGGCTATGTTGTGAGGCTATTATTGGGTACTCAGCCCACGATGCTAATGAATTCACAACTTAGAAGGAAAAGAAGAGAAAATGTGCTGGGTTTTGACTGCTATTAATACTCAGCCCAGAACTCTCACAATGAGGACCTTGGCCAACCTGAAAGGCACATGGGGGGGGCTGCTATAAATTCAGGAAAGGCAGGTGCTACCCAGGTCCCCACCTTCATTTGCATTTCATCTTTGTACATAGACCTTGCAGAAGAGAAAATGATAAGTTCTCTGGACTTTAAAATTCTTATTCTTCCCTGTTTAGTTGTTCATTTTATAGACATGGAATAATACCCTTTTTTTCTTTTGAAAATCCTACATCTATCTCATCAGGGTTCCTAGGATAGCAGTTTCAAAATACAAAAATGCTACCACAGAACTAAAAGAAATTAGCACAATGTATAAAAAATAGCTAAATGTGACACAAATATTCATTCCTTCAATTTTACTCCATTTGTTTAAGGAATTCATAAGAGAAAATATGACTTTTTTTTTCTGTAATAGTACAAATATTGTAATTCCAAACTATAAATCTGAAATACGGGCTTATTCTGAGTAATAAGTAATTCATTGCAGTGGCAAGGTCAGTATTGCCGGTCTACCGATGAGCCCATCAAAAGCATTCTTCATTTCTGTTATAGTGTTTTTGATTTCTAGCATTTCTTTTGATTTTTTCTTAGCATTTCCATCTCTTTGCTTACATTATCCATCTATTCTTACATGTTTCCTACTTTTTAGAACACAAGATATTAATCAGAATTCAAAAATATCAGTCATATCTGAGTCTGGTTCTGATGGTCATGTTCTCTCTTCAGACTATGTTTTTTCTTGCCTTTAAGCATGCCTTGTAATTTTTGTTGAAAGCCGGATATGGTGTATAAGCTAACAGGAACTGAGGTAAAAAGGTTTTAATGTAAGGTTTTATGTTGATCTGACAGGGAGTTGTGTTGTGTTTAATGTTTTCTATAGCTGCAGCTGCCAAGGCTTCAGGTTCCTCTAGCGTCATTGTATTTGTCTCTCCTGTCGTCTCTAGGTTTCTGGAAGAACTCCTCCTTAGACATCTGCACCCCCCCCTTTAGAAAGCAGCAAGATCCTGACGGCACATCAATTCACGTAGCCCTAAATCCCTTATTGGCTTGGAGACATATCTGGAGTCTCAGTCCAGATAATTGGGTCTCATGTTATCCAAATCCAAATTTAAAAATAATAGTGCCTACTCCCCAGCTTTCCTGATTGTCAGAAACACTCTGAAAATACTTAAAATTCCATTACAATAGCACAGACTTATAGTCATTAGAGTCTCACATTTCAATCTAATGTTTTTCTTAAAAGAATGTAGCAGACAATATACTATCAAATGCAAAAATCTGCTCCCTGGCATCTTCAATAAAATGACAGTGATCCTCAAGGTTTATGTCCTGAAATGTAACAGTCAAGACATAAACCTGGGCTTTGAATGACTGTCTATTTTCAAGTACATTTAAAATTTTTATTCTATTGATGATTATTCTTACAACTTAAAAAGTTTGGTTTGTGAAAGTATTTTTTTAGCCTTTCTCCTTAAAATATTTAACAATTAAATATGGTGCTTTCAAATAATACCTAGTACTTATATAAAAACAGTCAGTTTTTAATCATTTCTTTTCACTCCAAAACAACTCCATGTTCAAGGTTAAATCAACAGGTACTAACTGGGAAAGGTTCCTTTTATCCAGCTCTACTCCTCCCTATTTGTTAATGAAACCAATTAAGCACCAGGCAGTCAAGCCACTCACCATGTGTTTGGCAAAGCTCCCACTGGGACCAGTGTTGCGTACCAGGTGCCCTTCAGAGGGGAAGTTAAAGCTGCCAGCATTCAAGTTTTCTCGAGTGGAGTGATTACCGAAGAGAACAAATGGTTGTCTATTAGGGCTAAAGTGGCAAATTAAAAAGATGTGATTAGAAAATAGATTCCTGGACAGGGCAATTTCTTAGTGAGTAGTTCTTGGGCTTTGCTAAGCGGCATCCGCAGTAAGCAAAGTGATCACTATCATACTCCTAATGCTCTTTGCTGGTTGGGAAGGGATGCCAGATGTCTCAGACTCCTCCTACTGACTCATATGAATTAGTCATTTAGGGACATAACTAAATCCAAGCCAGGTTTTTATTTTCAGCTGGTCCTACTTCTTGATGACAAGTTTGCAGTGATGGAGGAAAATCCCAGTTTTATAAAATAGCATTTTTTTTATAAAGGAAGGATTATTTTAATTTTTTAAAATATCTTTATTGATTTCAGAGAAAGGAAGGGAGAGGGAGGGAGAGAGATAGAAACATCAATGATGAAAGAGAATGACTGATTGGCTGCCTCCTGCATGCTCCCCACTGGGGATCGAGCCCACAACCCGGGCATGTGCCCTGACCTGGAATCGAATATCGATCTCCTGGATCCTAGGCTGATGCTCAATTGCTGAGTCATGCCCGGCTGGGCTGAAAAAGCATTTTAATAGAAATAAATTTTAAAGAATGATAGCAGTTGTGATACTCAGACTGTAGACAGACTACAGTAGAGCCATTAGCAATTCCTGAGTAACCTTCAGGAGGGAAGGAGAGTAGGGTTGCAAGTGTTGTAGCTACCACATCTACTTTTCCCTGCACCAGAACTAGGACTAGGCTTATGGCCATGTAGATGGAGGGAAATGGAAATAGTGAATTTTCACTGTTGATTAAATTTAGAGATGAGGGGACAGGAGAAGTCAAGGAGGCCTCTCACGTCTGGAAGAGGAGGAGTCTTCCCTCTTCTCTTGGATAGACTTGTCTTTTTGTCTTTTTCTGTTTTCAGTTTCTCAGCCCACTTCAGTCAGCACCCCTCAGACAATTCACTCAAACTGCTCTTGCAAAAGTCACCAAATGCCTTTCATGTAGCATACAGCAAACCCAATGAACAATCGTTAGCCTGCCCTTTCTTGGTCTCTTAGAAGCACCCGACACCCTCCACCTGCAAAAGCCGTTGCTTCTCGGGTCTCCCTCATCAGTCCTTCTCCTCTACCTGGCTTCTGCATATTCATAAGAGTTTTACCTTCAGCTGTCTGTCCTCTATTCTCCTCTCTCATGATCCACCCCTTCCAGTCCTTACAGTAAATAAATGGCATCGTCATCCATCCAGGGACTGAGCCAGACCTGAGAGGTCTTGACTTCTCCTGTTCTCTCACCTCTAAATTTAATCAACAATGAAAATTCACTATTTCCATTTCCCTCCATCAACATGGCCACAAGCCTAGTCCATGCTGCCATCATTTGTTCCCTGGACAACTGCAATGCTTCAACATAGTGTCCCTGCTTCCACTCTCACCTTCCTATAATCTATTCTCCACATTGCAGGATGGTCTTTTAAACGTGGAAAGCTTTTAAAGCCTTTATGTTATTTTCCGAAGAAAGGCTGAAATCTTTGACATGGCCAACAAGGACTTGCATGGCCTGGCCTGGCCAGCTTCTTTAGGTCCCCCAACTCCCACACTCCAACCAAACTCATCTCTCTTATGTTCCTTATGTTCTCATCTCAGGACCACTGCTTTTCTCCCTTCCCTCAATTGTCTTTACCCATCATTCAGATTTTCCCTCAAAAGAGGTCATACTCTCCAGTTATGGTCTTCACTGTATCATGTTCTTTTTCCCCTTCATGCCACAAACAGAGTTTGTAATTATATATTTCTTTATGAGGTTGCTTGATTAATGTCTTATTTCTCCACCACACTATACACTCCATGAGGGCAGAGACCATGTCTAGTCTATTTTTTTTACTACGAATCTCCTATTATGTCATATGTTCTCAGTAAATATTCAGTGAGTAAAGAATATTTTTAAAACATGGTTCTGCTATGGGTCAAATGTTCGTGTCCCCATAAATTCATGTTAAAATTCTCACCCCCAGCCCGGCTGGGCATGGCTCAGCAGTTGAGTGTCAACCTAGGATCCAGGCAATCGGGGCTTGATTCCCGGTCAGGGCACATGCCCGGGTTGCGGGCTTGATCCCCAGTCGGGGGCATGCAGGAGGCAACCAATCAATGACACTCTCGTCATCGATGTTTCTATCTCTCTCTCCCTCTCACTTCCTCTCTCTGAAGTCAATACTTAAAAAAAAAAAAAAATTCTCACCCCCAAAGTGATGGCATAGGTAGGACCTTTGGGAGGTGATTAGGTCATAAGAATGGATCCCTCATTAATGGGATTATAAAAGATGCTCTTATAAAAGAGCTTCCAGAGAGATCCCTAGCCCTTTCTGCTAGGTGAGGTTACAGAGAAATAACAGCCATCTATGAGGAAGTGGGCCCTCACCAGACACCAAATCGGCTAGCACCATCATCTTGGACTTCCCAGCCTCCAGAACTGTGTGAAATACATGTTTTTTTGTTTGTGTGTAAGCCACTCAGTTTCTGGTATTTTTGTCATAGCAGCTAAAACAGATTGAGGGTTTCCTTTATCCTCTACGTTTTCCTTAAATTGCTTAGCGTGTATATCATGAAGAAAATTCTTTGCATTTCTTTTCATTACTTTTTTTTTTTTTTAAATATATCTATTGATTTCAGAGAGAGGAAAGGAGAGGGAGAGAGAGATAGAAACATTAATGATGAGAGAGTCATTGATCGAGCCTGCAACCCAGGTGTGTGCCCTGACTGGGAATCAAACCCCAACGCCTGGATCCTAGGTCAATGCTCAACCATTGAGCCAGGCCCAGCCGGGCTTCATTACTCTTAAAAATACTTCCTTAAGCTTCAGGCAAGCAGGGGCTCTTAAAAGTAAACATTACTGGTTTTCCTTCTGAAGCTTAATTCGAGCTAAGTGACACTTGGGGGCAGAGAAAGATGATTGAATCCTAACCAGAGTAATTTGTTTCACCATCAGATTGGATTGGAATTGGGGAAAAGAGATGAAAGATCAACTCTCATCTCTCCATCAGAGGAACTATCCCCTGCTGGGCTCTCCTGATTATCATGACAAGAGAGGTGCTGAAGGAAATACAACAAAGGAAACAAATGCGTATGTTCCCTCACAGCTCCCTGACTGGATGATTCTTCTCATTACCCACAAGCCACTGCTGACCCCTGTCCAGCTCTTGGACATTCTGCTTCCTCTAGCTTTCCTGAGCTGGGGATGAAATAAAAGAGTTCCTTTCTTTAGATTTCAGCAAGCTACACTGTTTTAAAAGCTAGTTTACTCTAAAACTATATGTTTTTAAAAATACAAAAGCAGTGAAACAATTTTACAGAGTATGGATTTCTTACCCTGTAATGACTAAAGTCAAGTCATATTTTCCTGATTCCAGTTTCAAGACTTAGATGCTCCCCCGCCTCCACCCTTCTTTTCAACCCCATTTTCTCTATTACCATTCACCTTTCTTCCCCAAGAAACTTACCTGTTTTCAGTTATATGGCTGGAGATCATTCCATGACTAAAGTAACTTCTGAATGGCTAAAAAAGAAGCCAACATTGTATATATTAAGATCACAATTTTATAAAACAATCACAAAACCTCTCATGTATATTTGTATGTATGTATAAACATATATACACATATAGTGTGTGTGTGTGTATGAGGGGTGGCAGAGACAGATGTATGTTTGTAGATTATTTTAAGAACATGGAAGGACATAAGAGATGGACAGCAACATGAATTTTGGGGACAGGTTGAAAAAAAAAAGCAAAGGAAAAAAAGACAAAAGGCTGCAAAAGAAAAGGAAAGGAAAAGAAAGGTAAAGAAAAGAAATTATTGTCGAATTTCATAGTTTTTTTTTAACTACTGAAAGGAAATTGGAACAACCACCATGCATGATCCAAGGTACTAACCATGTGGGAATTTTTTCCTTTATAAAAAATTTTCCCCTACATTTTCAATAAAGGAATACATATTCATTCTTATTAATTCTAGTGAACTAATTTAAAATCAGCAATGAGGAAGAATTCAAGGAACTCAGAAGTACACTGACAGGAGTTTCCCAGGAAATCACAGAAGTACTCAGCTTTGCTGTGCATAGTGCTAGGCTTAACACTAATCAAAAATTGATATCTGAATCTAAGTGAAAAGGGTTCAAAATTTTAATCCCCTTAACTAACATCTATTGTTCCCCCCCAATTATATAACTAATATATGTTTATTTTAGAATACAATAAAAACCAAGTACAATCTTTAAGAACTGTTAACATTCTGGTACATTTTCTTCAAATCCTTTTATGGAACACCCAAATATTTGACTGTACCAAAGTTTATTAAATAGTCCTCCTCTATTCTTGGAAATTTATACTGCTATTAACTCATATAATAAATAATACTGCAATGGCTTTCTAGAAATTTTATCTGCAGCTTTGATAAAATTAATTTTATTTCCTTAATGCAGATCTGGAAATACAATTATAGGATAAAAAGGCAGAACTATATTGCCAAACTGCTTTTTAAACAAGTTTTATTGCCTTGGCTGCTGTTGTTCAGTGGTTAGAGAGTCAGCCCACGTACCAAAGGGTTGTGCGGGAGGCAACCAATCAATGTGTCTCTCATGTCAATGTTTCTCTCTCTCTCTCCCCCTCTTTCCCTCCCTCCCTTCCACTCTCTTAAAAGCAATGGAAAAAATATCCTGGGGTGAATATTAACCCTTTGCGGTTGTTTGTCTACTCTCAGACACCAAAGCTTTTTTACCGTTCTGGTCGTATGTCTGCTCTCAGCCACCACAGCAAGGAACTGTACGAATCTTAACTCTATTCATTCATGTATCAGTTCATAATTTCTCTGAAAGCTCTTAATTCCGACCAGTACGACACCCATGTCCAAATTTAATACAACCGCAAAGGGTTAACAACAACAACAACAGTTTTATCAATGTACTGTTCCACTGATAATACATGATTGTGCCTATCTCAGAGTATCACCATAAGCACTGTCCATTAAACATCCACTTAAAAACATATTTGCCAAGTTGATAAATGAAAAATGGTACCTCACTGCTGTTTTATTTTACATCCCTTTGATTTTTAATGAAGTAGAATCTTTCAGATATAGTCAATGGACATTTAGATTTCCCTTTGGTAATTTACTGTTATTTACATCCTCTGGATGTTTATCAATTGGAGTTTTTTTGTTTTTTAATGTTTTTATTGATTTCAGAAAGAAGAAGGGAGAGGGAGAGAAAGAGAGAAAGATCAATGATGAGAGAGTCATCAATGATCGGCTGCCTCCTGCACACCCCCTACTCAGGATCCAGCCGGCAACCCGGGCATGTGCCCTGACCAGGAATCGAAACCTGACCTCCTGGTTCATGGGTCAATGCTCAATCACTGAGCCATGCTGAACAGGCTATCAATTGGAGTTTTGGTATTTGTCTTAATTTGTAAAACCTCTTTAAATATTAAAATAATTATAGCTTAAAACATACTGAGATTTACTATGTGAACTGCAATAGGCATTTAAATGTATTATCTCAAATAATCCTAATAACAATCTATGTGGTTCATTCTATCATTCTCCCCTCTCTAGAGATGAGTTGGCTAAGACACAAAAGTTAATTAAGTTGTCCCAGGTCACAGAGCTAGTGAACTGAATAACTAAGTAGGCATTTGG